AAGAAACAGGTATAGCATTGTTACATGATTTATATATTGCCAATCCAACCATTAGAATTATATTCCTAACAAGGTTCCATTCAGGCAAAGAAAACAAATGATTAAGCAGGCAGCTCGTGGTAAATGTAATCTTTATAAGTCTGTTCCGGTACTTCCAACAAACACACAGTGCAAAACACAAGTGAATTAAAAGTCAAGCCTGTAATTCTGTACTTCCCTCCACCATTTAAACCCTCCTGTGGCCCGTCCTCTCCTACGCATGCGAAATACACCCAAGATACTCCAATGACATGACAGACAATGCTGGTTTACATTGCCACACCTGCGCTGTTGTCATTCTGTATGAAAGTCACGGCAGGATCCGAAGGTCCTTCAAGCTCTTGGCGCGGCAGGGAAACAATTGTGGTGTCAGGTTTCTGAAAGACGCCCTAATTGACATCAGCAATCCAAGTCAACGAAACGCCCCAGTCTCCCCACCAACAGAACGGCAACCGCTGAGAGCGCCAGGGCTGACAAAGACAGTAGCCGGCAATCTCACGAGTGTCCAAAACAGAGATGGTGACAAGACACCATCAACAAAGATAGGCAAGCCACCGCCCTGCACCCTGCAGACACAGCTGACGGAGCAATGTGGCATTCAAGGATCCAAAAAGCGGACCCTGCACCTGCGGGAATACGCTAGGAAGCAGAAGAAATGATTCGCTTAACAAACGTGGCGAGAAACGCCATAAAAGGGGGCAAAATGCACTTAACAAATTTCTCCCATAAATTTGGGGCTCAATTGTGGTCGTAGGTTGAGGACTACTAGTAATACTAGTTCTAGTATTACTAGTATCTACTAGTTCTAGGACTACTAGGAATAGTAGTTAGTGTGTTTTCCTTACTAACATCATTCTTTTTCTTCTCCAACGTAGCTTGTCAACCAACCCAACCGTATTCTTTTCGACCGTCGCTCTATCAGCCACAGCAACCTCCTCTGGCCCCTCCTACTTCGACCTCCTACCCTACCTCTAACCCCCCTTACATGCCCTCTAACCCTGCCGGTGCCATGCCTCCCCCCTTATATCCCTCCCAGCCCCAGGCCTCTCCAACCAGCTTGAATCCGAGTTCTTCTCTTCCCGCTCCTCCTCCCCCTACTTCCGGTGCCTCCTTCCAGCATGGCCGGCCAGGAGCGCCACCATCTTCTCTGCCGTCGTACGCGTTGCCTCCTGGACCAACAGGTACAGAGACCGCGACCAGTGAGTTGGCTGCTTCCCAAAGAACGGGTCTGCGCTTAAAAGGGCTGCTGGGGGGTGGGGGGGGTGAGAGGTGTATTTGCATTGCATATTGAGAGAGGGTGCCTTTTACCTACTTATTAACGTAGCATGTGTGTGTGTGTGTGTGTGTGTGTGTGTGTGGTGATCTTGTGGTTTAACATGGCGCATGTTGACAATGGCAGAGGGCTTGCCCTCTTTGCATGCCGCCTAGCATCCCATGTTTCCTCAGATCCTGTTCAGAGCAATTAAGGCAATAGATTTGCGGCCCCTCTCAAGCTAGGCTGCAGTTGGCACTCCTCCCTGCTTCTTTGGGGCAAGGGTGTCAAACAGGATTTCTAGATCAGCATTGTAGTAGTCCTCCATGGGCTGGGAGGGCAGGGCAGGGATGGGCCGGATGCCTCCTGCAGCACCCTGCCTGCCAAAATGGGGAATGGGGGTCGCACGTGGAGCCCCCCTGCCTCATATTCAGCCACCCTGGCCTCCGGCAGCACTCTGCCAGCCAAAAAAAGGTCCTGTTTTTGGCTGGCAGAGTGCTGCTGGGGAGGCTGAAAATGGGCCACGCAAGAGCCACGTGCCCCCCCCCCCATGGCCAGCAGAGGCACCACGGGTCAGTCCTTTGATATTTCTAGGCCAACCCCACAGGCCAGATTTAAGCACCCTACGGGCCGAATCGGGCTAATGGGCCTTGAGTTTGACACACACACACACACACCATCCTGCTTTATGGGATATTTAGGAAAAAGCAGCTTCCATTAACTTTTCTTGGTTAAAAGGCACCGTACAATTGCTCACCAAGAGACAAGCCAGTGTGTTTGTCGGGAGGAGTTGGCAGCTCTGAATCAGCAGCTTGTAGGAGCAACAAGCTGTTTGGTTCAAGAGAGTGGAGAAGAAGAGGAAAATCTGGCTCTTTTGTCTATTTTGGTATTGTTTAGCTTTTATTTGCAATCTGTGGCTCAGCAGCCATGAATCTTTGCTGCGACATTAACATGCTGCTCTTTTTAATTACCAACATGTTTATTCTTCTCCTTCCTTCCAAGAGGTTTGAATTTACACTTATGTAAATGTCTTTCTCCAACCTGAAGAGGTAGACCAAACTATGGCATAGTATTTAATTTTCACGCATCATGCCAAACCACAGTTTTATTTTAAACCAGGATCTGGTGTCGGAGCCTGTACGATTGGCTTCACAACTACTCCGGTATGATGTCTGAATCCAGCCCACAACCCATCTCATAGAACAGGGGTCCTCAAGGCTTGGCAACTTTAAGACTTGTGGACCTCAACTCCCAGAATTCCCAGAATTCCCGAATGTAATGCAATAACTTTTATGAAGGATTTGCTATTAGAATAGCAGTTATAAAGAAGAAAAGTGAAACACGTAGAAAAAACAAGCTACACAAAAATTATCATCATGTCAGTTAATACTTAGTTAGGCAACCTGACTGGCTCATTGCCAAAAGAAGATGACACCTGATTGGCTCTCTAAACACTCATGCTCATTGGCTACAATCAGATGAAGGA